GAGAATTTAATTCGAAGCACCAAGCATGAATTGTGTTTGGAAAACGGCTACCATGCAAGAGAAGAAAAATGGACGCATGCATTTCCCCAAACGCTTCAGTTTGCATAAAGATCAAATATGTTTACATAGTTTTTGTTTGCATAAGTGTCAGATAGATATACATAAGTACAGTAAAATGGTGGCCAGTTATTGTTTTGGGGATGTAAGGTACCCTTCTGCAGTGTGACAGGGGCATTTCACGGCAACGAAGCAACCATTACAAAGTAAAGAGAACGGCTTTGAGCGGGACTTGAATTCAGATAGTGGTATCCACTGTTCGTACTAATAACCCTTACGCTACCTGCACATTGCTCTTCTTTCCACATTTTTCATCTACAATCTGAAAGAAAAATATAAAAAAGCATTATATATATATATATATATATATATATATATATATATATATATATATATATGTGAAAAGTGTATATAAATATAAATAAATATATATATGTATAATTATTTATATATTATATGCGCGGTACTTGTTAGAAAGCGCTCAATATCAGAGAGATAGAGCTAACATATTTGGTTGGATAGATGTGAGTTTGTGACCCTGGGTTTCACGCTTTGCATGATCATCAGACAAACTGATTAATGTTTTAAAAAATTGGGTTTATGTAGATTGCGTGTATTGGTGTTATTGTGGAAGTGGTGGGGAAATTTCGTCGTTTGTCATTCATCGTACTAACGCAAACATCGATGTATTCAGACACATATACATACTTGGTCGTCCATCGGGACTCATACATATATAAACATATGTGGGCAGTTTCGGCTATGACACATGTATGTATACGGGTGGTGTTATGTCTATGTATGTTGAAATGTTGAAATTTAAACATTGGAAGTGTGGCGGAAATGTCTCGTTAATGTCTCGTGAATGTATCTATGTCATAATATGAAAATATATATATATATATATTTTTTTTCGCTGAAAAATATTTCCTCGCATGTATGTATATACGTGTGGTGGGCTTTGTGTAAAATTATGATAGGTAAAAATTATTATTATAATTATTTATATTTATTTTAAAATTTTTGAAAAAAAATGGGGGTTTATTTGTTATATTTAAAGTTGGTTATTTGTTTGTTTTTGGTGACTGTGTATATGTAACAGGTAAAAATTTGTAATCCTTATTGTTTAATTTATATGGTGATGTTTAATATTCTGGGTGAGAGGGTGGTTCAATTTAATAACGGGTCTATATGATATGATGTGATAGTAATGTTTCAAGGGATTGTAGACAATGCTATTTAGCTAATATTTATTGTAAATTGGAAGAAATTGCAAATTGGTAGAAATTGTTAGTAACAGTGGTGGGAGAATGATAAAACCATGAATGTGGTTATAGTGGTGGTAGTTTGAAATAAAAAGTGGTTGTTGGTGTTTTATTTTATTTTTGTTTTATTTTGTTATATGTATTAATTTATTTTGGTATAAATCCTGATAATAGGTATTCTGTGTAAAATTATGGTAGTTGAAGATTGCTAGTGCTAGTGCACCAGGTCTCTGTTTATGGCCCTTCAAAAAGTGTGGATGGTTCTGCACAAGACCGTCACCACTATAATCAAATCTCATGTGCTGGTGTTGTGCTGCTTGATCCTCATACGACGAATTTGACGGTTCAAATATATATATATATCATCGAGATAATTTTTTTTCTAATATTTCAAAAACCGTCCAATCAATTCACACAAAGTTTCACACAATATTGGCAACACTGACCTGCGCAATCACTGATCTGCACAATGTAAACGTAAACAAATTGGCGCCATATTTGTTATCAGTACGGTGATTTGAGCGTGCAAACTTATTAGAAAGGTTTAGTCAAATTCTCAGAATTGAGCAAACAAAACGTTTATTAATGTTGCACGCGAATGTTTATGATCAAAAGAAGCTAATAAATAAGATAATCAAACAAATAATAACAGATAGAAACAAAGGTACAGTTTTAAACAAATTAATAGGGAATGTGCTTTCCCTGTTTTGAAATTACTTGAAGAAGTCGATGATCCATAGAATTTGTTAATTGTAGGATGTCATCTGCTGTAATGCCGCGAGATATGTCAAGAATTGCTTCCTACAACTCAGCGTTGCTCCTGAATTGTCGTCCATTGGCGTCTTCACTTCATGATGCTCCAAAGGTTTTCGATTGGGTTCCAATCCAGAGAATTTACTGGCCACTTCATTTTTCGAGGTCCATCGAAGCCTAACTGTTTCAAATATTCAGTAGTCTTGTGAGCAGCGTGTGAGGGAGCATTATCTTGCATAAAAAACAATGGCCCTTCTGAAGGCAACTCTTTGCCTTTTCATCCATGGTTCAAGATGCTCCTTCATAAACGCTATGTATGCATCAGCAGTCATTTGGACACCATCGGGTACTCTCCATGAGCCCACTAATGTTTTTCCAATAATAACACCCCAGATCATTATGCCTCCACCTTGTTGGCGTCTCAAACGCTGATGGCGATTCTATCCGTTCATTACCCAGCCTTTGCACCATCTATCTGGCCCATCAAGTATCACTCGAGTTTTGTCTGTGAACAAAACTTTAATCTTCATATTGTCCTCGGCCCATTTCAATCGATTTTGAATGTGATTTCTCGACAACGGAGGCTTCGATACAGGTTTGACTGTTGTTGCTATTTCCCTCAGATACCGACACCTAGTACTTTTAGACACAGTAGGATCCCCAATGCGACTGAAAAGCTCTTGACTGGTAAGTCCAGGGTTATTCGTTGCCTCTCGTTTAAGTTGTGACACTAGACGACGTGAAATAACCCTCGGCTTGCCTTTATCTGCCCT